GATTTTATGTCTGTTCTGCTGGCGCCTCCCCAGCATGTTTTACTTTATAATAAGAGTGAATTACATAATGCCATATAAATTTGCCGTACCACTGATTTCTTAAGAAAGCGAATTTTATAAAATAAGGAAATTAATCTCCRGATTTTATTTTTGATAAATTTTATATGCTCAGACCATTGCAGCTACTGATCTGTTGTATATCCATATGCTCTAATTCACAGACTAATCTATGAATGACTGGAAACTAAGCAGTTAGTGGGTGAGTGGTTAACATGGTCAGAATTAAAGTCAGTAAAATCAAATTTCAGTAATAATATCTAATTCAAGTTTAACATTAATGCAATGTTGTAAACCTTGAATTAATATAACACTATTGTACCCTATACATTTCAATAAAAATAATTCAAGTGCAAAAAATATATGTAAAATTTTATGAAAAACATTGTATCAGTGGTTATAATGATTATATTTGATTAAAAAAGCTAGTCGGATAGTAGTCCAAATAGGCCACACTAAGAAGGAAAAGATGGCAAATGAAGCAAGTGTCCTAGGGCGYCTCAAATTTTTGAGGCATGAAAGTACAATGAGTGATTTTCTAGGTTTAAGCATGTATGTCAAATATGGACACCAATGATAGTAAGCACRGCATTGCAATTATTCAATGATTAGCTTTCAACAGTACAAATATTTCAAAGGATGAAAATATTTACTGTATATAATTTAATTTAATAAAATATGCAAATAAATAGGCTAACACATTTGTTTTTAAATATTTTACACATTAGATCAATATAAAATAACAAATATCTTACCTTTTCCACCATTGAATATACAAATTCCACCATCTCTACCATCATAGATCTTATTTCGTTTAAGTGTTGGGTTAGAGTCTGTTTTGATCCAAACACCAGCCATTGCATTATCAAATATTTCATTTTGTTCTAAAACTCCTAACCCACCATTGTACACTAAAACTCCACCATTTTGGCCTCCCCAAATTTTATTACCTTTAATTATTGGATTACTGCCAGTTCTAAAATATAAAATAAATAAACATATATCATTAATTTATAAACCATCAGGAAAATAGGTACGTAAATACGTACTAAATACAAAAAACAAAAAATTTATCAAAAAATTATAACATAATTTATATTCTAAAACAATTTAGGCTTAATAGAATAAATCTCAACTTAACAATTAACACACAAATAAAAAAAAGGAGAATTAGGTAATTACTCTGCTGTAAAGTAGGTGTGAAGTGTATCTCGTTATTGAGGAGTAAATTTATAGATATAAAATGTTATCTATATCATTATATCAGTGTTATATTTGAATTCAATGATAAATGAATGTATTAGAAAAAGATTCTGATTAAAGTGTACTATTTTTAAATATATTTATATTTATATAAATATTATTTATTGTTTGATAAATGTTGTCAAGATCTTCCATCAATCGATTTTTGATATTTTGTCGTGATTTAAAAACGAATAATCACACTTGTAGCTATCACAAAAATTTTAAATTAATTAGCATTTTTTATACATGCTACAATGTCTWAAACATTTTGTGATGTTTATTATTTTTTAATTAGAAATTCATAGGTTTTTTCTTTTATAATTAACATAAAAAATTTTAATATAAGATTTCTAAGAGTTTTTTTTATACCTATCAAATTCACTTCAAAGTTTTACTATAATACAAGATTTAATAAATCAATTTTTAATAATTTTGTTTTAACTATTAAATTTGATAATTTATATAAGTATCTATGTTAGGATTAGGTATCACAACGTTTCCACTCAGGATCTTTTTTGTRTGAAATAATTGATCATTGAATTCAAATATAACACATTCATTATAACAACATACTCGACAACTATTATACAGCAGAGTAGTACCCACTTAACTCTTTGTTTTGTTTTCAGGTTATCTTTTAAATTACTAGGGTATTTTATTTTGGACCCCTAAAGTAAATTTGTATATCAAAGCTTTTTTACTGCTTCAAATGATGATCAGACACAAATATTTAAAAGAACACACAAGTCAATACATTCATTACTCAGAATCTAAAATATGAGTTTAACACTTAAAAATTACAACTTTTATTTTTTATTTTTTATGTTTTATAGCCATTACTGGTAATTAATTTTATTTTATTACCTAGGTATTATTATTAATGATTCTTTTTATACRCTAAATAATTTTAAAATCCTACTTAGGTAACCAAGTATAAAATATTATCTGATAATGTATGTAATAAGTTGTATCCCTAATTTTAATATTTGCTAAAAATTTATAATTTGAAGGGGTACTGCWCAAATTAGTAACCATATTAATTGGTTGATAACAAATAATGTGTGGACATCAGCTTAAGATGCATTAGTAACAATGTTTAAGTAAGTTAATTAAGTTAATTTTACCATATTTTTCGAAAAATTAACAATATTTCAATACAATTTAAAAGTGGTGGCCTATTTCTATTACTTAAGAATGCAATTCAGATTTTATTGTTTAGTACGTATAGACAAAAAAAAAWATATATATATTACTCACCTTATTTGAACACCAGAATACAAGTGATTAAAAATATCATTGTCTTCAAGTTTTCCATGTCCATTATCATAAAAATACACGCCCACTTGTTTACCAGAATGTATTCGGTTGCGGCGCAAAACTGGAGTACTACCAGTGGTAATCCAAACACCAGCCAATGTRTTTGCATAAACTTCATTTTCTTCAACAAGCCCAGCACCTTTCTCATGTACATATATTCCACCATGTTGACCATGATGAATTTTGTTATGCCTAACAATTGGATCGCTGTTTGTACGAATTTGAATACCAGCTAATGCATTACCTGATAAAATATATATCAATAGATTAATATTTATATGATATTTAATGAATACTATTGTACTGACCATATATATTGTTATGTTCAATAAGTCCTCTGCCTTCACCAAATATATATACTCCACCTTGATGTCCATTATATATATCATTACGCCTTATGGTCGGATTGCTGTTTGAAGTGATCCAAACACCAGCAAAATTGTTACTATGAATTTTGTTATCAATAAATTGGCCGAGACCATTTTCATGTACATAGATTCCGCCTGTCTGACCATGATGAATTTCACATTGTACAACAGATGGATTGGCTCCAGCTTTGACTTCAAAACCAGCAATACGGTTATTGTGAATATCGTTGGCTTCAAAAAAACCCTAAACATAAAAAAGAAATTATAAGAAACTGTAAAAATTGATAATTAAGAATAAGTTAAATAAAATAATTTTGTTTTTAAATTGCTCATTACCAATCCATTGTCAAATGTAAATATGCCCACATCTCTTCCATGGTGTATATGGTTGCGACGCATCACTGGATTTGCATGATTTTTAACCCAAACACCAGCTAAAGCATTTCTACAAATTTCATTGTCTTCAAATGTTCCTTGAGCATGATCAGTCACGTAAATACCAACATTTTCACAGTCGCTAACATCACAATGGTGAATTCTAGGATTTGCACCAGCTCCACTAACACATACAGCAGCTCCTACAACTGAGGAGCTTCTGATAATACAGTGATCAATTGTAGGTGAACAATTTTCGCCAACTTCCAAACAAAAATGTTTATGATGAGGTACAGTTGAAGTAACGTTTGGAGTAAATTTTAATGTGACATGTCCCAAATAGGCACTTTTGGCACCCTCAACAAACATAACAGTTGATTCAGTTTCTCTTTCAAGAATTACTGCATCAGCAACCACACCAGGAGCAGCTCCAATTAATGTTATATCTGAATCTATCACTAAAAATTCGCCTCGATAAGTACCAGGATGTAAAAATATTTTTGCTCCACCATTTAAATGTTCATCAGCATAATCTAAACCTGCTTGAATTGTTTCAAAATGTGGCATTCTCCTAACTGGGTCTTTAGCAGTACCATTATAATGTGGTCTTACATGTAAACAACGTTTTTTTAGCTGCCTAAAGCTTTCTTTCCATGGATTATGGTGTTCACTTTCTTCAAATGGAATAAAATCAAAACGACTATTTTCTGTATGAAACAGTGGTGTATCATACTCAAATACACTTTGATATAATCTTTTCCATAGATTATTATCATTAGCTATTGCTTGAAATCGTTTACAAACTTGAGCTATTCTGCATAGATCTTGTTCATATAAGTAACTGAATATTGTCAACATGACTTCATCTGGCAGTTCACATTGTAAATAATGGGCAGCCGAATTTGAATCTGAAATATTCAAATACATTTTTAATATTTTAATTAATACTTAAACATTTGTACTTATAAAATAAATAGTTGATTATAGAAATTAACAAAAAATGTATAGTAAATTTACATAACAGAAAGAAATTAAAAATGGGAAAGAATAACAATTAAAATACCAGACCAATAAATAAATAAATGTAGCATATTATAGTTTCAATGTAAATAAAAACATATCATCAATTAGGAAATAGATTAGTAACTTTATTTAAACTGTAAAAAACTTACTATATATCCTTTAAAAAGGTTTAAAGCATATATTTTTAATTTTTAAGCAAACAAAATAATTCAATTACTGTGTTTRAATTTGAATAAATAAAAAACTAAAAGGAATTAGTTAACTTGTATTATTGTATTACATATAATATTTTGAATTTTCAGTAAATATAATTGTATATGTATTATTTATGAATTTTAAATTGGTTTCCATTATGGAAATATTTCGAGTTAATTTATTTTATAGAAGCACAATTAAAACACTTGCATTGGACCTTCTCCAATTTCAAGCCTAATATATAATATAAATAATACAGATACCTAGTTATATTTGTATTTTGTTCATTGGCTACTATTTATCAGGATGTCCTCCTCCATAGAAATCATAGGAATTAAATCTTAAGTAATGAACTAGGTACCAGAACAAAAATTTTTTAGACATAAAGAAGTATACTAGACAAATATAAAAAATATTCTTAGTAGGTAAAATAATGTAAATAACTCGGTAAATAATTTATGAAATATTTAATACAAAACGGTATACACACAAATAATTTAGGAATTGGTACATGAGGTATAGGTTTTATTGTTATTGTTATYTTTTTTTTAAAGCAATATCTACAGTACAGTTCATTTAAATTAGTTTTTATCAAAAAGTAATTTAAAGCTATACTTTACTGATTACTTTACTCTTAGTGTTAATTTTCTCAAAAGGGTTCATTAGGGTACAATTTCTAATTAATAGTTTCTAAAAAATGGATCTAAATGAATATAATGTTGTTAATATAAATGAGTTGTAAGTAATTTACCTACTAAAGTATGTTATATTAAAAAGTCAATATAAAACTATACATATAAAAACAAAGGCAATGATAAATTACAGCAAAACTATAAATTGACCACATAATTAAATTTAAAATAAATCAATTACTTACTGTCAGAGCTAGTAATTGTACAAGAAGTATTTCGTCTGAGGCGTTTACGGGCAGGCTGAGATAAAGGTGGTGTAGCAGCCGACTGCAATACCGATGCAGTAGCTGATGCTGTAGGTGATGTAGGACGAGTAGCAGTTGGGTGTACTGGTGCTGTAGCATTAAATCCAGCTGTACTAGCATCATGTAAATGTAAAGGAGATTTTCGGCCACGTAGGTCATAAGGTGGCACATGTTGGAAGCTAGTACTAGTACTAGAGCCTCCTGGAGTGGCATAGCTACCACTTGCAGCAACTAAGGGTTCACATGTTACTCCAGCTTCAACAACTCCGCCTAAATAAATATAAAACAAATATATTATATAAAAGGTATCTATATTTAAAATTGATTGGAAAAAAAATTTTGTTTACCTATATAAACATAATAAGTGTCAAAGCTCTTAAGTCTAATTAAAACTTGAGTTTTAATGAGATAAAAGATATATTTAAGAAAATTAGTGAGACAGTACCTAAGTGTCAAAATTAAAATTATAGTTAAGTACCAGGTAAGTAACTATTTATTCAACATTTGAAGAAAAATATTTTATTAAAATGGATATTTATTAACAAATATATAAAAATGTAAATTTGTATTTATTTTCAGTTATTTAAATTATTATTTTCATTCGGTACTGAAATTTAAAAATTAATTTTTATGAAACACTAATTTATAAATTAAAACATAAATGAATAAGTTATGAATGAAGCCATGTAATATTGTTATAATCAAATCCAATTTAGATAAAAATTTAATAGAAAATGAATAAAATTGATGATAACATAAACTTTTTAGAGTAAGTTTTACATAATACACAAATGGGCAAGAATCTAGGTATCTAGGTTCCAATGTTTTCATTAAACAGAAGTATTAAAACTCTTCAATGGTACAAATTAATTTAATGTTTCAAGGCCCAAGACCATGAAAAAGTAATTTATAATGGGTTTAGTTCTGACTTCTTTTTTTTATATTATAACTCCTTGGAATAGTATAGCAAGTAAATGTATGGTAATAAAAATAAATATTCATTATTTAAAACAAGTTTCATACAAATGTACGCTAGTATTTTTCATYTGAKAAAAGATACCTAATAGTTATTTAATAGTTTTTTAATACATTATTATAATTTTGTTACTATAAGTTATTAATATTAATAGTATCAGTCATAAGATGGGTAGGATTGTATTCTGATTGTATTTTAAAACTGAACAGATGAATAAAAGTTCAAACAATCAATTATGCTGGCCAGTCGGTGGTCACAGATGAAAAACTAAGCTAGAGCCAGCCAATCGCGATGAACTGGCCATCCGACATAAACAAATATTCCCTAACTATWCAATATACTCGACAATATACCAATACCGGGCTACAACTACCTGCATGAAAAAAAGGTAGGTAGGTATATTATACTATAGGCCAAAAAAATGGTATAAGTGAGAAAACATAATATTATGTCAACCGTCAACATATAAGTATCTTTAGATATTATTTTGTTACACATCTTTATAATATCTGAATATATTAAACTATTTAAGAGACAACAGTAACAGAAAACAGTTATAATATAAGAAGGTAYTTCTGCACTAGACCTACAATTAGGTACAAGGTTATGACTGATAATCTAGTAAATAAGGTACAAACAAAATATGCAAAGCGGCCAACAAATCTATCTAACAATGATCGATACATGGCCGGATCGTTTGCCATAACAAGGGCACTGGTGGTAGACCAAGTAATCAAAATGCCCAAGTCCTAACTACCATTTCTTTGTTAATAATTAAATTTTCGATTTCCCCCTCTTTACTTGTGCACGGTACAGCACTAAAGTGCCAGACTGGTGGCCCGCGGCTCGGCGACTCGAGAGGACCCGTGGCACTAAGCACCCCAAAAACATGACCTAAAATCCCGTGTTCGGTGGCGCGAGACTATCATTGCCGTTCTGTRCCAAARCTGTGGAACGCAGAAGTCCCCGTTTATCGATTCGAAAAGTCGTACGCACACGCAACATATTTTACCTTGAAAGCAATCGCCTTCTCGCTTGGCAGTCGCGAGCGGTTCATTGCCATGGGGGCACCTCCGAGGATCACCCCCTCCCATCACCCCGTATCCTGCAGGGGAAAATTTTCGGCAAAGGGGTAAACTATACTAAACTACAATAGGTAGGTAAATACTCACCAGAATTCGACGTCCTAGACGGTATGGGTAGACGGTTGGTGCCTTTTCTCCTCGTCCTCCGCGTATAAGAACGAGTCGAGCTGAACGACGCGCTCGGCATTCTCTTCGAGGAAGTTTTTCGTACAATTTTTAAAACGCGTCGCGTACGGTCGGACGATGAAATTGTAATTAAAACGAAACGACTAAAATCTAACTACGGTATAACGGGTAAAAAGTTATCACAAAATTGATTGATTATTATTATTTATTATTATTATTATTATTATTATTATTTTTATTGCATGCGAACGCGAATACCTTACGACGGATACATACGGACACCGCGCGCGCACACGTACACAATTTTATTTATAAATACAGACGTCAGACGCACACACGCATACACTGGCTTCTGCTGTCCGCGTCTGCAATCTAAACCTACTCTAACCTYTAGATTAACAATAATATTATTTATTAGAATATCAGTATTATTATATTTTTTATAAAATGTATATTACGTTGCGTACGTGTGTGTATACGCGAACGCGGCGGCGGCGGCGACGACAACGACGACGACGACGACGACGCTCTCACACACACACACAGTCACTGTAGTCACTATAGTCTGTAGCTCACACGCACATAATACACACACCGTAACACCACAACACGGCTCTCCCGCACGCACACGAACGCACCAACGAGTACACGGGCGCACGCACACGCTCTCGCGGTTCGGGTCGGCGGCGAAACAAAAGAAAGGAGGCACAAGGCAGCTGCTGCTGCTGGTCATGAACGACGACGGCGGCCGCGGTGAAGTCGCACGGGAATTTTTTCTCCTCTCTCGGCAAACGTCTACTCTTTCTCTCTCACACACACGCCCTCTCACTCTCTTAAGCACAGTCCCTCTCTCTGTCAGTTGCACGCACGCACCGTAGCGCCACACAAAGTACCCCCTCCGCACCCTTCACCGACCGCCATCATATCGCCGCCGCTACTACTACAATATTACTACAATAAATACTACTACTACTACCACCACCACCCCTCGCACGCCAGTGAGTACCGAAGGGCCGCCCGAACACTCACCCACTCACGGTCGGCGAAGGCGGCGACGACGAACGAGGACGAACGACGGCGATCATTAATGAAAAAATAAAAATAATGCAGACGCGATCGCGGTCACACGCATCGTGCACCGTCGAGTCGGCGGCGCCCCTTCGAACCAATGCCGCGTCCCGGAACCGGTCACGTGACGCCCCGGACAATAGTGAACAGACGAATGTACCACCGCCGCCGACGTCTCACTGTCGCAGACGGGTGTACGGGCCGTTCGGCGTGTGGGGGATCGCCTCCATCATTGTCGGGCAAACGACTGTATATTTTTCGATTCTGTAATCTGTACAATATGCAATTTCTAGGTTTTTTTTTTTTTCAGATTTCGCTAGCCCGGCTGTGTCCGCACCCTACCGAGGCCCCTGTACTCGGAGTCGGAGTGTATACGAATTTTTCCGTCAACTTTTACCTGAATTATTTTGCTCGATGYTGATTCGTCGAGTATATWGTATATTAAATTAATTGCATAGTACCAGCTATTATTATTGTGCAATAAATTGCACAATAACATTATTAGTATTTTACTTTTGTTACCGACTGAAATTTATTAATTGTTATAATTCATATCGATGCAAATAGGGAAGGGGAGATTTGGTATTTCAAATATCCGCCAAGTCACCAATCTAATTCAAAATTTAGTATTTTTGCCATTTTTGGTATTAAGTAAAATAGTTTTAGAAAATCAGGAAGGCTCTTCATTGCTCCCCTCCCAAAAATTATATTTTTTTGAATACCTAATTGAGCCTCTATCAGAATCCAAAATATTCC